GAGGGATGTGAACAGAGCTGCATGATTTACAACAGAGAATCTGAGGCTTTGTTTATTGCTTATTTAATAGTCTTCAAAAATGAAAAACTACTAAATCAAGTTCCCTTCCCCCCCTTTTTTCATCTTCTCACACGCTTACTTATAAATACAGTTTTCTCTACAGCCAGTTAATATTGTATGTCCGTCACACCCAGAATGATGCTAATAGCAAGCAGATTAAGTGAAATGATTAGATGGAAGAATGAGAAAAAGTGATGATGTCAGAGTCTTTGAATTGCTACTGAAGGGGCTATGTAAAAAAACAAAATGAAATTTTAAATACTTATAGCTGTTATTTTTAATATTTAGAAAATTTAATGAGCATTTACTGAGTCAAGCCCTGACATAAGTACCTTCCTGTATGGTAGCATACATGATGCTTATCATGAGATAGATGTCCCTCTCAAGATACTATGTATCACAGAAATCAATTTTTAGGTTGAGTGTCTTGCTTCATGTCTTGTAGCAAGTAAATAGCAGAAGCTGAATTGAGACCCAAGTAGCATAACTCAGTCTAGTGCACTATCCCTGACTGCTTGGGCAACAAGGTAGAACAGTGGCAGAAACTTCTAATACCTTTCCTTCTGAAGTGCCCACCAACCCATTCACTTTCCAGAAGAGCTCACATTCCCTGCCACCCACACCCTACACTTTTTTCTTTCCAGAAAGATAATTTTCCACTTCAGTATATATGCTAGTTTGATTTTTCTTCAACACATTGCCATTTTGATCTGATGGAAAAGTTTCAGAATTATTATCCCACCCAAGCCTTAACCCTTGGCACAAGCATTTTCAAATATAGTACGTTTAATATGCTAGGGTTTTTTTTTTTCCCAAAGACTTAACAAAGTAGACATCAAATGCACGGAACAGCCCATGAATTTTCTAAAACATAGGGCTAAAAATACAAATGATTGGTCATAAACTTTTTAAGCCAAAGGGAAAGGGAGCAAAGCGACTTTCAATTAAGAACTCCTCTTCTCGGCTTTGAGGCTGGCGATGCCTCTTTAGTGTATTTCTACCTTCCCACAGAAAGAGATTTGGAGGGTTAACTGTTTCCNAATTTACACACAGCACACACATACAGAAATAGATTTATTTGCCAGTATGGACATATACTTTTTTTACAGAAATAATCACTAGAAAGAGCACTAGAGATGGAGGAAAGGAAGTTTCCAAATTCACAGGTTTGAGTGTCTTGTTTTTACTTTCCATTTTGTACCTTTCCGTGTTGTTAAAAATATTATTCAACTATTTCAATTTTCTTTTTGTCTAAGTCAACTGAAGTTATCTACACAGTAAAATTATTGGCCCTTTATTTTTTTTATCCTTTACACTTATTTATATTTTTTAAGCATAAAAGTTCTACTAACTAAAAACCCTCACACCTCCACAAAGTAGGAAAGGCACCCTGGTTATTCCTGCCCAGCCATTAGGAGACAAGAGAAGGACTGAGCCCAGCTGCCCTCCGTGAGGCCTCGTTCCCTCTAGTTGCCTGTTTAGTGTGACTGTCTAATTTATCTTCCAAACACAGACACATTTGCAAGTGAAGGGAGTGCTTACTAGACAGGACGATGGAGCACAGGCCTACATCAGGAATGTTCTGGGCACCCTGGGATGAGTTTGGTTTGTTATCTGTAGGTCGGCGATCATTTTACTACCTGTAAAAATATTTCCCCGTGACTCTGATTGGTGTCTGTTCTGTTTGTTT